AAAGATGGAATGATTTCCTTATCAACAATTGTGCACACTTTCTTGCATATTATCAGATATCACCTTACAGTTATTCGCAAACAATAACAGTTACTGAGGCTGCGATCGTAATAGAACAACAACATTACTTATGTTGTTTGTTGATATAATCAGACTAACTACTGGTTCCATCATGTACCGCAAACTTTTTAGAATTTCGTTATCAGTGACTGCACAAGCATATAACTATGCTATTTAATTTAATGCTCGTTGAAACTTTCAGATTCAACATTCTACAGTAAAATTGAAAATTTCATTTTATCCGGATCTACTATTATCAGAACATTGGTTAAAATTATATAAGATAATAAGTCTACAAATTTCCGATGTGGAAATTAGTGCCACGACAACCTCTTTTTATTAATATTTATTGAAATACATTCTGATTTTTTATAGCACATTTTCCTTTCTAATTAATCCCATTTTCTTAAATTATTGTACCAAATGGAAATATATAGCAAGGTTATTTTATCATGTTAATTTCCACTGTTAAATTTAAGATGCATTAAAGGGAGCAAGTTAATACATTACAACTTAAGTATTGACATATCATATAAATACTCCAATTTGTTTGAGAATAATTATAAATAACTGCAATGGATGTTTCACTAGCAGACTGATACTACAAATGGTATGATAGCATATTGATGGAAGTTCAGCAAAATTTCGCTTTCTGAAGTTTGAAATTCTTACCCAAGATTCTCAAAAAAAAAAATTAAATTACACAGTTATAATTGCTTAAATAGTTTGCATAAAAATATAAGCAAATGACAAGGTGAAGTGAGAAAAACCAAAAATGTACCTCTTCTTCTATTCTACAAACTTTGTTTGTTCCAGTTGATGTTATCCTAAAATGAACGCATGGCTATTTCAACAATATTTATTGGGAAGATGACGTCATTTGCTCAAATATTGATGTGGTAAGTTTGATAATAAAATCATTCATTTCTTTAATTCATTAAGTGACAGACTAGTTTGTATAAGTTGAAAAAAGAAGCAGCTAAATACATAATCCAATTACCGTACTGTAGAAAAGTATACAAATGCATAGCAGCAGTTTGTAGATAATCGTCACAGTTTTTGTATTTGTTTAATTGTTTCTATTTTTTCATTCTGTTTTCGATTTAAAAGGTCAATGAAAAATAGCACCACCTGTGGACTTCGGTATGGGAAGTGAATGAGCAATAATATGTTTTCGGAAATAGCTAAAATTGTAAAGTTTTTTTTTTTTTCCATTCACATAAAAGTTAAATTGCTCAAACAACAATTTAACAAAAATTTCATCAGATTTTTTTAAAAGTTTTTGTTTCTACCTTTCTTTGAAAACAGTAATAGTTCCACTTATCATAAGAATACTTTTAAACAAATTGATTTTATAATTTGCTCATTCAATCATGAAATACGGAACTACGATCAAAATTACAGCAAGTTGGAGAGAAATTGAAGGAAGAAATGGAAGGGAAGGAGTGGTGAATTGTTTTCAGAAGTTCTATTTGTTAGAAATACATTGAGAATTATGGAATATCACTGATTGTAACCTTTATCAGATCATAAATTATCAGCGTATGAACAAATAAACGTAATCATATTTGCTTAACTCTTGAAAATAGATGTTTGCACAAGCCTAATTTGAAAACAGTGGTTGCTATAGCTCGTGGTAAAATGTCAATTCTGGTGGTGAAAATTGTGATGCTTGCAACGATGGGCGCTTTTGCATTGCTGTTCGGTCTGTTACCAACAAAAGTTTGTCATTTATTAAATTTGTATATTTTGCAAATTTAATAAAGTTTTGAAAATAATTGAATATAATAGAGAGTTATTTCAAATTTGCTGAAGTTTAGAAATTGTTTTATATATATTTTAGATATACAAATATGTTGAGACACAGCGGGCAACTAAACTTTCTGAAGAGAAGTTAGCAACTCGTTTTCTTTCAATATTGTCGTGCCTTTCTGGTGGTGTATTCTTAGGTGTTTGCTTATTAGACCTATTACCTACAGCCAGGTAAATACTGACACCTTTTTGTTAACAGATATGAATTGTACTATTATTTTCCATCTCATTTCCCCAATTTTTTGACGATGAATTTCTATTTGTTTGAATCTATCTTATCATTACTTTTAAAAATATTTATAATTATACAAATATGATAAAAAATTTTAGATACAAACATATCCATAAGGAATTTAAAAGAATTATACTGTCCTATCAATAAGAGAATTAAAATATATGATGAAAAAGCCTTTTTCGAAGACAAATTCAGCCATATTGGACAAGAAGCCATGTTCAGTCAGCTGGGCCATTTAACAGATAACAATGAAATGTTGCAAAATACAGCGGTATTTTCAGCGAGGCATTTAATAAAATAAAGCAAGAAAACGGATGGGAAACGGAATATCCATTTACGGAAGTTTTAATTGGCTGTGGTTTCTTTATTGTTTATTTGATGGAAGTATTGGCGGTTCATATCTGTGGTCAAGATCATATGGATTACGAGGCGAATCGAAACGAATGCAAGAATTGCAAAATTGAGAAAGATGTGATCGAGTAAAGTTTGAATGATATCTTTGAAATGTTTTTTTTTTTTTTTTTGTTTGTTTGTTCTACTTTATATTAGTTAAGTTTAAAAATGTTGTTCATTGACACCTTAGAAACCTCAGAAATTATTTCAAAAAGAAAAAAAAAGGTAAATAGTTGAATTAATTTTTCCTGTTTAAATCACTTGTTTAAAGATATTTCGAGTCTTTGACATAAGAAATTCGTAAACTTTCCAATCAAAAATTCAAATTCTAACTAAACTACTGCATTTAAATAATGTAAACCTTTTTTATATTTGTTTGCATGCATGTTTTTTTTTTTTTTTTTTTGGAGATTTATTTGCAGGGAAAGTTTTAGCAATGGTGAGCAAGAAGTGAATGAAAATGAAGAGAACAAAAAACAAAACGATGCTTCAATAGTGGAATCAAAAGTTTCTGGAAAAGATAAGTTTGTAAAATCAGTAACTTTAGTGACTGCTTTTGCGGTTCATTCTTGTCTTGAAGGATTCGCCTTCGGCGTTCAGGTGATTCTTCAATTCTTAAAGGAACTTTTTTTTATTGATTGTAATAAATATCTACTTTGGATTTTTTTAATTTGAAAAATTCGAATTTAAATATTATTTTCACGACTCGACTCTTCCTACCTGATTGAAGAAAATTTTCTACAAAATTTATAATACGTCTAGTTGCAGTACACAATGTTCAGTGTAACAACACTTTTCCTTGGAATATTAGTGCATAAATCAGTGGTTGCATTTAGCATCGGAATGAATCTAATTAAGACTCATCCCAACAAAATATATTTTGTCATATCGTTGATAATATTTGTTGCATTAACGTCGCCCATTGGTGGTTTTATTGGAATCGCCTTGGAGGTTACTTTGTAATTAAGTAAAGTATTTTGAAGTTGGTCCTAAAAGTTGTGCATAAAATCAAAGAAAATCAAGAAATTTTACTTGAAATTAACTGCATCGTGTTTAAGGAAGCTTTGAACAGCTTCAATTAAAGTAGTAAAAGTAGAAAATCCCATATCTTCCTTCATGAATACTTCATAGCTAAACATTTAGAAAACTCGGAGTACACCTTCATTTGTAGGGTTCGGAGTTCGGTGAACAATCACAAAATATTGTAACAGCAATTGCATCATCGCTTGCCAATGGTACATTCATTTACATCACTTTTTTTGAGGTTTGTTTGGATCTATCTTATTTTTAATTACTTTCTTCAACACTGAAATCCTAGAATAACTACAGTAAGAGAGGAAAATATTCCTATAACCAGTACTATCTCAATATTTCCTCTTTTCTTTCATCTTCTAACTATTGCTTTAGAAAAATTGTTCAGTGACGAATATTTTTGTTTTTGTGTTCTCTCCTTTCCTTTCTCTTCATGTACTGAAATTTAAATGTTAAGAAATTTTAGCTATAAGTAGCCGTGCAACTAAAGAGCTTGCTTTTTAGATATTATATGCTGAACATGGACATGGAGAGAGGAAAATGGAGCAATGGTTGAGTGTAGCTGTGGGTTTTGGTCTAATAGCTATTTTGATGTTATTTGCACATTGATTCCTTAACACCATTTTAGAATCAGTATTTGGTAAATTACTAAGTCTATTTGGTTTTCTGACTCATTTCTTGAACTGCTATACAGTAAATATCGACTGCAGAACTTATCATTTGTATCAGACAAACAATCAATGTTCATAAAATTTACCACTGTTCAAATTCATTGAAAAAAAATTTTTTAGAATCAATGAAATTACTAGAAAACTTTAAAGTGATAACAATACGCTAAAAAGAACAGCAGTGATCGTACCAGAAACCAAAAAATTTTATCATTCACCTTTGCAATTTTAATTATTCCACTTTCCAATTTATTAAATTACATTATTAAATTACACAATTAAACCACGGGATTGAATAGGGTTGTTAATTAAGACTTATCATTTTGATTATCGATTTATGTCTCACAGTTCTCTTCTATAAATCATTAAAGTAAATTAATAAATCATTAAAAAATTTAATTTCAACCACATGACTTCAATAAGAAATCAGTTGAATTCATATCTTTTTAAAGGGACCAAAGCCACTGAGAATTGTCTGTGGAATGAATAGTCTGATAATGAACAATTTCTGCAACAAAAAAATAATTAACATATGCAGTCAGCAAGAACTCAAATAAATCACAGTCAATTATCAATTCGCAGAACAGTTACAGGTGCCACCGGATTGCAGAGCAGTGAGAGACAGGGGTTGTAATTAGTGGTTAGACAGTGGTATTGGCACTAAGCGGGATGCTAGGTAGAGTCGGTGGTCTCTGTATGACCTCGTGGATACTGTATCTCTATCTCATCATTTCTCAATGGCTCATTGTTCGGATTTCTGCGTTTTGTTGAATTATTCACACTTTAGGAGAAAGTGAAATATGCCGGTAGATGGCGGTCGACAAGCTATAAACCGTACACCGAAACGCTTATCCGGTTATATCAACAGGGTGCCACATTTTGTTTTATTTTTTACTGAGAGAAGTAATTATGAAGATTGTTCCTGGAAAACCCAAGTTCATTTCCATCTTCTATATAGTTCTATTAGTGTTTTACTATAAGAGTCATTCTTTTTCAAAATACTTCCAGTTACAAGAGATCAGTTGGAAATCGTGCTGGTATCAATGTAACTAAATTCCGTAGGTGCATATAAAGGGAACTTGACATTTCATTCATTAATTTTCGGTCTTGTCAAAGTTGCAAAATTTTTGTGAGAAAGAAAGTAAACTGCTGTAATACATATATGAATAAAACGGATAAATAGATGTTCGAGTGAGGGAGTGAATTACAGATCGAACAGCGCACAATTGGTGGTCCATGTAAACGCCGTTACTGGTTTGTGTTATCAGATGATTCACCCTATTTGTACTGGTACAAAAATAAGGGCGATATTAGTTGTGCAGGACGAGTGCCACTGTCCGGAGCTGCTTTTACTTTTGATCCTCGTGAAACTGGCCGATTTGAAATACAGTTTGTTTTGTTTTTTCTCTCCTCATTTGCACATGGTTTTTTTCTAATAATTGAGATATACTGAATTCTGAAGTACATTTGCTGATTGCAGCTATTGGATGAACGATCAGTTAAAGTCCAAGTCTAGGTTATTAAAGCATTCGATTTTTGCTGAGCAAAACGATTCATATCTCGCTTCTAGGCAACATTTCCAATTGCTGAATTAATTCGTTATTTAGTGTGAATAATGAGATACATCTTCTCGAAGCAGCGGACAATAAGTCACGTGTTCAGTGGTTACAGCAGCTTCAGAGCAATCGTCGCCAACATTATGAGAAAGAAAATATTGACGACATATTGAAAATTGTGAGATTTTCTTACCACTTGTGTTGTTTGTTTCTTAATTTTAAATCATTCTCCACTGACATAGTTTTTTCATGTTTCCTTATTGTTTCGAGTCAAAAATAACGAATATTAAGCAGTGATACCAAATATTTTTAGGAGATCGTGTCTCTTTCGTCTCACTCACTTTCGGGAAACGATCATTGTATGGAGAGTTCTTCGAATACTGAAATTAAAAATTTAGAACAGGGTGAGGATATGGTAGTAATAGATGGACCTCCAGATGAAAAATCACTTGAAGATGAAATTAATGATGCTGTGAGTGAACTTAATCTTTTCACAACAGTTTCGCTGTGATCACAAGGATACTACTTTTAATGATTTGCATTTTTAAAAGTTCTGACAAAACTCGTAAAGGTACATTTGTTTGAAATTGGGATTATATGTTGGTAATTTTAAAAAATATTTGTGAAATTTCAGACCCAATCTACATTTTATCTTAATTCCGATGGAGAACTGAATGCAAAAAGTTTAGAGATGCCAATTTCAATCCCTCCCAATACAGACGTCTTGAGAAGTGCAGAGGAATTAATTGAAAAAATAGCAGAAGAAACTCAAGCAAAAGCGAAAATACTTGAACAACCAGCGAAAAAGGTGATAGACAAAGCAAAAGCTTCGTTGCGGTTAGTACATTATCATTCTTAAATTGATGTTTTTTATGTCTGTACATATATCAAAAATATTTGGAACTGATTTCTACTTCTGCAACAGTAAACAGTAATAATATTTTGAACTTAACTGCTGTTGAGCAAGAAAACAAGGCATTTGTTTTATTTAGATAAGAATTAAGTTTAACACATATATTGTTACTCTCAAAGTTTGGTATTTCTTTTTAGAAAGGAAGGTAAGCTTGAAACTACAAATTCAAAATGAATAGGATGGACGTTTGCTAGTATATTTTCAATGTATTTGATAATATACGTATTTAATGTGTTTTTTTTTAGGCTTTCTACATCACTACGACCGCCTTGTGAGCACTGCAAAATTGTAAGTTTATATAAGAAATGTGATTTCATATATTATTTAGCTTCAGTTTACACTAAAAGCACAGGGTTTTCTTTTTTTCTTTTTTTTGATGCAGCAATAACATGTTGAACATCACTAGACCATAACGAAAAAAAAAAATTTTCTTAAATAAACAAAAAATAACAGATTACAGCAGATTTTCTAGAATAAACAGAAAAAAATAGAAAAATATTTATTGCGCATTGCAGTTACTTGGTATTGTGAGTGAACTTAAAGATCGTTGTTATGAGCTTACGGACGAAGTAGGAGCTAATCAAGATTTGGTTACAATTCTACGGCAGAGTTTGGTCAAGTCAAATCGTCAAATAGAATTACTGTATGTGTTTGCTGCTATGTCTTTATGCTTCCTTTGCCTTCAAAATATTTGTTTTATACCTTTTATTTAGTGCAGGAAGAGTCATTTCAGAAAACGGATGGAAGAACAGAAAAACCCTCAGGAAAGAATTAGTATGATTCTGGAGAAAGAAAGTGAACTTACAGCGTTGCAGCTTAATGCAGCATCTTACAGTCGTGAAATTCGGATTTTAAAGGAGCAAAATAAGTAAACTGTATTATTTTCGTTTATAATACATTTCAGTAATGTACGGCATGTTAATGTTATATTTCCTGTTTGCAAATGCTATATTTCCTATTTGCAATGCTACAATGTTATATTTCCTATTTGCAGACAGTTTGAACAAAAAATTGAAGAATTAACTACTGAAATTAGTGCGTTTCGTGAATCAGTGCGTTCAAAAGAAGAGCTTATAATGAAAATTTATAGTGAGCAGGAAGGGAATGATGTTTTGGGTCGCTCAAATATGTTGCTTGATGATGGTACATTTTTTTTTTCTAAAAATTTTTCCTTTATTTTTTTGAACAAATGAATCGTTACGTACCTTATGAGGAAAATGCGTGATATTCTGCTGTTATGCTTTTTTTATAGTTATATTACTTATGAAATAACACATGATGCTTCTGATATCATGCAAAGTTGTTTAAAATTGTGCGTTTAAAAATTCGAAACATAGCTAACTTTTACGTTAGCTTTGATTAAACAAAATAAGGATTGATTATTTTTTGAGATTGCCCTTTATAGTATTGCTTTGTTTACTGGACGTTGTGTTTACTCATGCATTCACTTTATCGAATATGAATGATGTTTAAATCTGGGCCATCTAAGACCATTAAATAATTGTTTAGTTGAAGTGCCTGAAGGAATATTAGTCGATTTTGGTAGTAACTCATTTGATGAAAATGCGCAACGTGTATTTGACGAGGCAGCTGTTAATGATGTGACGGAAATGCGTGATCTTGTTATGGGATATCGAAATCAGAACATGTTTTTGAATCAGGAAGTTCTCGGTACGACTTTTTCTGAAGTAATTCCTTCGCTTTCTAGAATTTTTTTTTTTTTTTTTTTTTTTTTTTTTTTAGAGCTTCAAAAAATTGTACACAATTTGGAAGATAGGGAGCGACGAATTACTCGGCAAAACTTTGACATTGAAGCTTGCTATTATCAACTTAAAAGTCGGTACATCATGGTGCTAAATCACTTTAGAGCATCGAAAACTGACAGTAGAGGTTTGATAATTTATATTTCTTGATTTTATCGATGGCTTATTTATCTTTTTATGAATTCTTAAATCGTTTTCAAGTAGTGTTCAGACTTCGTTCGTTTCTTCTTTTTTGAAAACCCCTTTGCTGCTTATCCTGAACAGTGACTGCTGTAAAAGACTTTTCATATCCTAGAATGCAATATTTTTATATCAAATTCTAAAGTTAAGCGTTGTTTGACTTAACACTGTTTGGCTCAATGAAATTTGGTCTTGAAGGAAATTTTCAGTTTTGCAACCAGGAGTAATTGAGGCTCTGATTGATGAAACAAACTGGACTACAAACAAAAGAATGTTAAGCAACGACAAAATAGAAAGTAAGAATGAAGATTCATCTATTTTATAGGACACTATGGAAAAGATATCTATGAACTGTGTTGCATTTCAAAATTTTCTCTCTAGAACTTAGAATCAGAAATGTATTTTTTCTTTTTATTTTTAAAGATTTTCATTTAGTAAATGAATTTTAATGAAGCTTATAACTTATCAGATAAATATTTGCAGCGAGACTTACTGATTCTCTCGGATTTTATCTGAATGACGATAGAAAGCGCCATCAGTTACAACCTACTGACATGTTTGAAGTTGCTGCTGAATTAAAAAGTATAAGTGACGAGATCATTGTTCAACAGGAAATGGTACGTTATGTAAATTCTTTTCGAAATATTACTATACATTTGGACGTCTTATAGTTCAAATTTTCTGAACAGACTCATTTATTAAAATCTATCATTATTGTTTTCGGATATGTTTAGGAGCAGAATCCGCAGTACATAGATTGGCTACAAAAATGGGATAGTTTTCTGGTGAATTCTGCAGTACGTCCTCTGAAACCCACAATCGAACTAAAGAATTTGGTGAGAACGGGTATACCAAAAACATATCGACCGAGAGTTTGGAAAAGGTTGCCTTTTATTTTCGCAGTTTTTGTTAATAATTTCTGCAGGGTCAAGGTTTTCAATATATATGTAAGGCTGCTGATTTTAACCAGCTATAATTTTTTCATAACAAGAGAGAAAGGTAATTATTCAATTGAACTTTGTAAAGATCACGTTGTATTAATTGTATTTGTCTCCTCTCCTTAGGTTTCTATTTTACTGTGATTTCGTGTTACAAACCATAACTTTGTTTTTAATTCATTCACCCAAGGGTTTCCATTTTCGTAGCCTTCCATTTTTTTTTCTGCAGATTTTATCAGATGTTGTGTATTTAATACTGTTCCTTTTTAACGAACCTCTTTACAGTCTTGTTAATTACGTAGTGAGTGATGAAAAAGCCGATCTCGGCAACGGCTATTATGAGACACTTCTTCGAAAGGTGAATGCTGCTACCATAAATACTCTTGAAAATGATAGTGCTTTGAAGCAGGTTTGCATTTTATAAATCTAGCTTTACTAAAAATTTTTCTGCTACAATAAAAAATTTTTTCTGCTACGATATTAAATTGCTATTGTAGATAGATTTGGATTTGGCTCGAACTTTACCCACAAACAGATTTTTCGATGAGCCAACATCAGAAAAAATTGTTGTTTTGCGTCGCGTACTTTGTGCATATCGTTTTCATAATAAGTCTGTTGGGTACTGCCAGGTTACTTTAGTTCTGTTATCGCGCTTTTAGTATTCATCTTCATTCCATTTTTTCTGATTTCAGCTTATCCATGCACTTATAACTTTTGTTTTTATCCCAAATAATATTGTATCACAAATATTTAGAAAAGATCATGGAGTTTTTCTACAGTTGAAATTTCGAAAGTTTTGTCGAAGAAAGTTGTGAAAACATTTCGTAGCTTAACTCTTCTTTTATTTTTGCTTACTATGTGTAATTGTGAATGTATGAATTTGAATGGATAGTTTTGATTTATCACTATTTCAAATTTCAGGGACTAAATCGTCTGGTTGCCATTGCTTTATTATTTCTTGAAGAATCGGATGCTTTTTGGTTTTTGGTAGCTTGCGTTGAGCATCTTCAGCCCTCTGCATATTATACTTCTACTTTACATTGTGCTGTTGCTGATCAAAAGATACTGTTTGACATATATTTTAAAAAATTTCCATTTTTGATAGGGCTAAAAATTTAAGCAAGTTTGTGCTTACTAAGCAAGTACTTATTATTGAAGGATGAAGAGTCCTTGAATTAGGGAGTAGTGTGATTGTAAGCACTTCAGCTGCTATGCTCTTTTTACAGTTATATTTATGATAATTAAGTAATTTATAGGTGAGGTCATTGATACAAATATGTGGGTTGTATTTCATGTCTAACGTTGAATTTTTAGGTCTTACGTGATCTAGTTACTGAAAAACTTCCAAAATTATCATCTCATTTGCGCAAATTTGAGGTGGACCTCTCAGCTTTTACTCTGAGTTGGTTTCTTACATGTTTCGTTGACGTCTTCCCGCATACTATTTATTTGAATTTGTTCGACGTTTTCCTCTATGAAGGGAATAAGGTAACTTTATATATATATATATATTCTCATCCTAGAGAAATATTTGAGTCTTTTATATGTGTTTTTCAAAATATTTAGCAAGTTGGGAAATCTACAATTTTTATGCATATACTAAGATTTTGATAATAGGGTATCCTTTCCGATGCTTTTTCTTGGATCACTTGTGAAGCAAATACAAAGCTTTTATTTAAACATCTGCTTAAATTTCTACAGGTTCTTTTTCGATTTGCTCTTGGAGTGTTGAAACTTGCTGAAACTTCAGTGTTGGAATGTAAATCCGTTGGAGCTGTGCATGCTTCATTAAGTAGAGTAGCTCAGCATGTTCCCAACTTCAAGACATTAGCGCAGGTTGGAAGTTTTCTTATTATATCCGTGTACACTGGGCTATCCAAATAGAAAATTGATGGCTCCATTGGGAACTGAATTTATAGTATTGATCTCATTATATTTTTTTTTCGAGAGGAAGAGAGCGGGTTGAAAATCAGTCTAATGAATCTTTTTGTTTTAAACATATATATATAAGAACCAAATAATCCATCTTGTTCCTGCTGGCATAAATTTATTATAGGAAGCGGAGTAAGATATTACACAACATCACGTGATGTAATTTTTTTGATTTTAGATTGCTTTTAACGATAATTTTTTTGATTTTAGATTGCTTTTAACGATTTAAATCCTTTTCCACAAAAAAGTATAGAAATGAAAAGGCAATTTTATCTTAGCCAGTTAACAGTAAGTCAATATTTTTTTGAAACTTTGATATTTTTAGAAACAAGCAGATTAAGAAAAAAATTTTTTTTTTGCTTCGAAACATGAGATATAGTTTATTAAAATCTGAAACGAAATTTACTGTTGAAGCTCAAATCTGTGCCATTGTTCACAAGGCTATACTTCATGATATTCATAAGGTATTGGATAAATTTGGAATGGTAGGTATCGAGTAGTGAAAGAATTTCAGGCGACGCAGTAAATGGTGCAGCTGGTGATATATGAAAAGGTAATGTGGAAACAAGTTGCACTTCTTTGTCGTGCAATGATTAACAGTCATTTTTGCAGTCAATATGTTCTATGCGTAGTTCTTACTTTGCGTTATTTTTGTATATTTGTTTCGAAACTTTTTTTAGTTTTTAAGCTGTGATAAGTTTTCTCTATAAATATTGTGTTCTCGTGTTTCCTATCAGTGATTGTGGACTACATTTACATATCATTTTTTATTCTTGGTCCATTTTCGGCACTTATTTTTACATTATTTCATCTCCAAACGTTTGGTGATTTGTAGATTATGTTTACATATTACATACGGAAATTTTTCAAAATCTTCAAATGATTTCTCATTATTTTTCTGAATAGACCAGTTCCAACAGGCACTTTGAAGTTACTGTTGCTATCGAAAATCACAAGCCATTTTAATCTTTCGAGTGCTGTTTAGAGTTGAATTTTTCCCACTAAATGTGTGTACCTTTATGCCTTAGTTGTGCCTTTTGCTGCTCATTTTAAGAAAATCGTTGTTTATGATTTTCGACCCGTGTTCATGCTCTTCATTTTGTCTCAAAAACATTCTTTTTGTTTGACATTTGTGCCGTTGTTTATATTCTAAGCTATGTATTTAATAGAGATGCTAAATAAATAATGAGCTGAACGTTTTTTTTTTTTTTTTCATGGAAATGTGGAATGTAGGGTTCTTATAGTATAGATAAAAAAATTAAGTTTCCCTCAAAGATTTCCTGATATGTTCTGCAGTTTTCACAGTTTATCAATGCCATGTTAAACGCAAAGGGTTAATTTCATCTCGTTAAGAAAATGTTAAGTATGGAAGTTATTATTATTTTAAAGTACATTAAAATCTGGAAGTCGAGAAAGAGTTCATAAAGCTCCAAGAGGTGAGTCATGTATGTTCGAACTGCGTGGAATGCATTTTTTTCTTAATGTTCGGATTTGATAAATGTAATTCCAGAACACTCGGTAAATGTCAGGTACTAGCGGCTTTGAATATTCTTGACATTTGTGAGGAAGGAATAACTTTAATTAGCATAAGTGATGGTACAATTGACTATAAGTATTTAAGGGCGTGGATTGAGCTAGCAAACTGGCTTGATAACATTAATGACTGAAATGAATAGATTACGAACACTTAAGTATTCATGACAAAGATGTGTTGAGGCTAAAATCAATTAAGCTAATTGATGCAACCTCATTTCTGCACCTGTACTAGTGAAAATCTCTTCAAATATCTTTTTATCTGTCATTACTATCCAAAAAAAGCTATACGTCGGTCTCGGTTTCGAATGAAAATTTCAGATATGAGTTACTATCTACTTTGTAAAACAATTTTCCTTGTCGACTTTCGCAATTATGCCGAATGTTGTCTACATATCTAGCCTAGTGACTCATAGAGCTATTCTTTTCAGAGATGCCATCGATACCCATCGTAAATTGGAGACAGTTGAAGAGACGACGTCTCAACGGCAATTAAATTAACGAAGTAACGAAGCGCGTCTAACTCAATTGGAAAGTGAATCTCGAAGTAAATTTTATTTGAAGTATGTGCGTGTATACATGCCAATGACAGCCATACAGATAACTGAATCAACTGAGGCAAGAATGAAGTGATGAACCATAGAGGACGACAATAAAAAAAAGGAAAGGAGGAGTTAAACTTGTAGCTATTGACACTAACCTTTTGCAAATTTAACCTGGGACATTTTTGGAATGTATTCTGAGATTGCACAAGTGAGAAGACTATATCCGACTACCAAGATCTGTGACAACGATTAGAGATCGTCATTTGGCAAGTTTCCTAATGTTGTTTACAGCCTTCTGATTAGTGAGAATGAGAAACACTGGTCATCTTCTACAAGGTTGCATAGAAGTAGCAATTTTGAAATCTGATAAATCTTCCTATCCTACCGATACAATATAGCAAGACAGATAGCCGAGAATATTACTAGGCCAATTCTAAAGGGATAGATTAGTTCACTGGCAATATGTTCCGAATTCTTGCATTCCTTTACATTCAGTGATACATCATATAGTTTTAGATACTAAACATGATGTTTCCCGCTTACGCATTTAGTGGTGCAGCACCATCCACAGCTTGGCCAACATTACTGCCACCGCTTCAGCCTGTACCGTCATACGGCTTTACTCGAAATGATACGGGTGAGGGAACTAATTTAATTTTAGATTTTGAATAAACAAATCAGGAATCGAAATGTTATTCAGTCTTTTTAATTTAACTGATTACAGATGATATTTGACTAAATAATAATTCAAATAATTTTTAATTCCAATGGCAAATGTAAACAAATTAATTAGAAAGTATTAAAGATGAGAGTTAGAACTGCATTAATTGTATGTTTAATGAGAATTAATCTAATTTGCTATACTGTCATCCTAGATGCTGGAAGAACATCCTAACAGCGGATGAAGTATATTTTAGATAAACGCCATAATAAGAAAAGTTAGGCTGGCATTGAATAAGTTATTTGTGATTTTTTTAGGAGTGCTACTTGAAATTCCTCGCATTTTTTTCAGCCCAAAATCTTTAGATATTTGCGACGAATTTATTGAAATTTCTTTTTCAAATTGTTTCTTATTGATGTTCAAAGTTTTATGTTCTATGAGTTGCTCCTTTCGAAGATATCTTCTATTTAAAACTGTTTAGGTTTTGATTGTATAAATGCTCGAAAAGTTTACGAACAGCATTGTTGCACATATTTAACACCACATTCTGGTGGTGCTGCTGATGATAGAAGTAAACGAAAACAGCGTCGTAATCGAACAACATTCAATCAACAACAAGTTAGACTTAAATCAATTTTGAAATGTTTGGCGATTAAATTGAATAATACCAATGTTCCCTTTTAACTTTAGTTTTATGCAAAGTTATGAAATAATTAACTTCCAAGGATTGCAAAAAAAAGTATTGGTGGCAGTTTGTTTCGCTTGAAATAATCCCTGAAGCAAGTATTCAAGATTATAGGTTTTATTGATTATAAAAAAATGAATTCGTTGAAAGTTAACAGGCCAATAATCCTTCACAAACAGTTCAAAAACAGATCGTACATTTCAGTAGAAATGTCATTTTAATTTTAAACAAGTTGTCTTTCTCTTTATTTTACGGAAGTTTAAATTAGACTCAATTATAGTATCAGTGACCACTATTAGACCATTATTAATGGCTTACAAACTCAAAAGAGTAAGAAAAGACTGCTCTTAAGAAGTTGAGAAACAAAGAACAAATTTATTGATATTTTCTTCTTAGAAATCTTAAACATATATATTGAATTTTGGATTTGCTGGAGATCACTGATTTCATGTTCAATTAACTGAAAGACCAAATCGAAAGCTTCAGCCTAATAATGAAAGAACACCTCTTCTAGTCTTGATCCCTTCATCGTATTAAATGATATGGGCAAGAACACTGAGATCTTTATCCAAAATTTTGTTTCGGCCGATAACGACAAGATGACAAAAAAGTCGAGAAAGAAGGAATTATATTAAGTTGATGCAATTTTGTCTTCATGGAGGCGAACGAAATGCGACAAATAAACTAATTTTCTCATGACCGGATCTAGCAATTTAATTTGGCTCATCCTGAAAAAAATTTAATTATTTCGAAAATCCTTTAAACAAATTTGCGATCCTTCATTGAAAGAACTTTCCTTAGCTCTTCCACCACTTACATGTGAAGGCCTTCAAAAATCCTATGTGATACTGAAATGAATCAATAAACATAAATTCTACGGTATCTAAAATGAATCGTTTTTCTTTTTTTTGATTTACAGTTTACTATGATATACCAAAAATAGGAAGTGAGGAAATGAAAATGTGTAAAACAGTACTACGTCTTTAGGAAGAAGAGTTGAATTAAAGTGCAAGTCTCTATAAGTTATCAAATGATAGCACCAAAGAAACATATATGTATAGCTGATCATAGTGAATTATTGTAAGCATTAATATTTAAAGACATAATTTTGAAAAGAAAAATTAACAGTGTAGCAGTATTACAAAAAAAAAAACTACGTGATTACATAACATGTTATGTAATCTTTGTATGAACATTATGTTTTATGCATTATGAGTCCCATGTATTCAATAAGTTTAAACACTAAGAAGAAAAAAGTAGAAATTTTTAAGATTTAAAAGCATAATCTTGAAAATATGTAATTAACAGTACTGGAAGTTACGGATAGTAATAGGCACTACTGTAACTAATCATGTTAAAAAAATATTCATTTTGGAAAATATAAGATAATAAATGTAGTTGAAGCAAAAGAAGTATGGAATTCATCCAAATCACTTCAGTACCCAATCCCAGTGAAACCTCTTTTCATAAAGCTACTTTACCTATTAAAAAATTCGGTAATTATACGACATCTTTCCAAAATATTCGTCCCGTGTTTGCTTTTTTTCCATGCTGTCCCCACTTTTCATGAAATATTTTCTTTTAGTTAAATGAACTGGAAGCAGCTTTTCGCAAATCGCACTATCCTGATGTGTTTGCACGCGAAGAACTTGCTGTGAAGATAAATTTACCAGAAGCTAGAGTACAGGTACGTAGAAGTCAATGTCACCATGTACTATTGATTTTATCGAACTGAAAATCCGAGGATGTTCAGTTACAACCCAATTAATCCTTGCTAAACATGCAAAGAAGAAAATTTTTCAGGTATGGTTCCAAAACCGTCGAGCAAAATGGCGAAAAACTGAGCGTGATGATCAGAAATTGAATCACTGCGATGGTCAACACGAAACTGTTGTATCTAATGTGCAACTTAGTGAATCATACCTGACCCCAGCACTAGTATCACCTCCCTCTTCACTATCAACAGCTTTAAGCCAGTTTTGCTCCATCAGAACATTAACACGACCATAGATAGCTTTATTCTAATTTTAATCTCAATTCAATTATTCACCAATCCTTAATGTGCATATCACTGTAGATGAATACAGTGAAAGTTGTCTAATGAACAGTGCTGTCAATTTTCTTCTTTTTAATAGTACATGCAAACAGAAGCGCCGATGATACGGTGTAATAAATCTGTCATTCAAACCTGAACTAAATACACATATTAATGTAATGTATTGTTCAATCAATTTACTGTAGGCGCGCACTTGAAATTGTCTTCGTCAATTTGAAACGCAACTTTATTACATATCTCTTGGAAAATGAAAGGATCGTAATGAAGGGTCAGCAAACAATTCGTACAATGAATGGTTTAACCTAAATCATAAAGCGAAAATATAAAAGATTCTCCTAATTTCAAAAAATCATTGGAAAACACGAATTAGTAGTCAGTTGGTCACAAAGATGTTTTAGTCGAAGCAATTATCTTCACTGCTATAATATACTCTGAACCGGAAGTGTAAATAACGATGAACAATGGAAGTAAAAAAAATTAGGCATAACAAAATGCAAATTAAAGAAAAGAAAAATGAATTAATGAAACACTGGCCAACCAGACCGAACAGCCATATTTCGCTGGAAATATTACGTGTTGCCTTTGAGTTTGGCCAGAGTAAATATAGTCTTTTCTTTCTAAAGACACATAGATATGTAGAAATATATTAGATCTGAAGAATTTCAAGTTAGTCGAAATGGAAATCATAAGCAGTAATAATAATATTTCGACTCCAAAAAAAAGCAAAAAAGATCGTCCGAACACTGCGAGAAATGACAGAGAATACAAGTTCAGTGAATTCATTAACTTCCTTCGAAAATATATAATACATTTCGAAATCCCAAACTCTTAGCAATAATTTGTTATAAAAAAAAATCCATTACCAATGGTCTTCAGTAAAACATGAAATGATGAAGTATAGGCATGGATATTATCATCTTGATAATGATTGCGTATTCCAAATATGAACATTTTGAGCGTATCAGAGTTACAGAAGTATACATTACACAATGAAAACTCAGAAATATCTACATCGATAGAAATTTAGGGAAAACTAAGTAATTGTAACCAACAAAATGAAAGCCATGAAAAATCCTAGAACATAAAAGGTGAAAACACCAAAGGATTTATTAGATAAAGACACTCAGAACATATCGTAAGAAAGTTTGAAAGAAGCGGAAATGTAAATCCATGACAACCTGTCCAGTCTACAGTCAGTGCAACAGCAGCCCTCTACATACAATTCCGGACTGCTGTTCAGTTGAGATCCACTACCAAAAGGTGTCACCAAACCGTTCATGACAATACGGAAACCGCCCCTTTTCTCACCTCTTTGTATGTCTGGATGTTACAACAACGCAATATTCTTACTTATCTTGCTTCTTTGGTCTCTCATCATCCATCATACTCAATCGTCATATGCTAGCTGTTATGGCTTGGCAAGAGACATTTATAGGTAATTGAAGTCCCGGACTCCTTCGTTAGGTAATTTCCTTAGGTTGCTTTTGCAATGCGTAGAGTGGTTCTCCGGGGTTTCTTTCCTTGACCGCAAAACAGTTTGCCCAGGTTTCTTTTGCAGTGCGTAAGATGATTCCCCGGGTTTCTTTCGTAGTACGTAAAGTGATTGTTTTCAGCTGCTACAATAGTGAGCCGTGGATGGGAGAAGAAAAATTGCTTTATTGCTACAATAAAGGATGTGGTACGAAGTTCGATCCTGGCGATAACAATAATGGTAAGCACTTATCTTTGTGTTTACTCTGTCTTTTTATGATCATTCTTCCAATTTTATTTTTTTCAGTTGCTTTCTTCTGCCTCGATATCATTTTGAAAGTAGTTAATACTTCTGTTTGTAACGCTTCCATCTCACTTACACGGAAAACATTATTGGACCAGTCGGGACCATACGAAACAAAAATATATGAATACATTCATGTTGCATTACATAAGCATGATCTGTCAGGCTTGTATTGCGCAACCTTTTTTTTCGCATTTTACTACTGATTTACTCTTAAATGCTGTCATTTTAACCAGATTTAAAAAAACCCAAAAAAAATATTTATAATCAAACTTATGTCTTTTTCAGATTCATGTTTGTATCATCCTGGTGCACCATACTTCCATGATGCATATAAAATTTGGAGCTGTTGTAATCAAAAAAGTACAGACTTCAGCACATGGTTAAGTCTGAAGGGCTGCACACGCGGACAACACAGTAATCAGAAAGTGATAGCAGAAACGAAACCCGAAAAATTGGAAACAAAAATTAAATCTCAATTATCAGAAGAAGTATGTGCAAGCGATATATTATTGTTCATCGAGGAGCCTCTTGAATTACAGATACATCTTCAATTACACGTTAAAATTGATGTTGTTTAAAGCGTCTTTTTTGTTTCAGTTTGATGTGAGATACCTTTCAAAACTAGAGAGATTTGCTCTGTTCAGAACATAGCGACGGAACACCTATCAGAAAATTTATAGGTTTGCTGAGAGGAGAGAAGAGAAATATTATCTTCCGAAAGAGATTTTTATTGACATTCGTCTAATTATTGAGACCTTTGGGTCTTTTTTTTTTTTTTTCAAAAAGAACACTGAAATGAAATCTGTATAAAGAAACATGTCACCTCTTCCAACGTATTTTCAATGACCAGATGCAGTGGTTTATTTGCATTTCAGGTAATCGTATGGAGTGGTCTAAATAAACCCGCAGCTAGACATGATTCTTTGAAGGTAATGAAAGCGATAAAGTTTGAAGTGACTGATGGCGCTTTAAAAGGCATTGAACGATTCAAATCTGAAATAAAGGAAGACGCTGAATCAGATATTCATGTGGGCATGTCATGTAAAAATACTGGTTGCGAAAAGGTTTGTTTGATAAATAACTTTGCGTTCTGTTATATTTTTCAAAGCGATGAAATTGTCGCATTTTATTGTATTTTTAGAATATGATGTACGAGGAAAAAATCAGATATAAAGACAGATAAAAAATTTTCCATTATACAAAACTTATATAAAAATCTGATATAGAAATTCTAGTGTACCGTTAGTTATCCCCGTGCATTAGAAAGTTATTGTTCTCAGTGATAAATGTTAAGTTTATGATTAAATTTTTTGAACTCATTCCATCTCATAAAGCAGGTCGAGTATATTCAAAAGGCTTAATAGTGCAAAGAAATCTTGTTGTTAGATGAAAAAAAAAAAAAGAAAAATTAATTCGTTAAGTAAATTATTATTTTTAGGTTTATGAAGGCGAAGAAAGCAAGGATGAGAAGTGTATGTATCATAGCGGTGTAGCTATATTTCACGAAGGAATGAAGTATTGGTCATGCTGTGAGAAAAAAACTTCCGATTTCGGCACTTTTCTTGAGCAGAAAGGCTGCACGATGGGACAGCACTGTTGGACAAAAGTATGAGTTGAAGTTTCAGTGAGGTTTCAGTGGAATCATCCACAAATACGTAAGCGAAAATTGCCTTGAAAATTGGAAATCGAGTCCAAAAACATATGTATTTTTAATCATTCAGTAACTTACCAAAATTCATATTATTTATGTATTTAGACAGAACGCATTGACAAAATTCGCGAAGACTGGTTTAGCGGGGGTGGCTTCATTCATTTGAATGTTTACTGTAAGGGAGCCATGCCAGAGTCTTGCAAAGTGGAAAGCAATGGGCTTATATTGCAATTAAAAGTCGTACATGGTTTCGGTGCAAAAGAAACGCAGTTGAATTACGAGCTTTTTGGTAGGATCAATGTAGATGCATCGAAGGTAACATTTCCTACTTAATTTTTCTTTTTCTCTCTTTTTATTAAAATTGAGATGATACGTTCATAAATTCAACCTTTTAAAGAATTATTAGGTTTATCAATATCTTTTCAGGTAATAATTGGTGAAAGAAAACTGGAGTTAGTATTAAAACAGGAAGATATAGCAAGCTGGCCACGGTTAACGTATGATGCAAAAAATGTTGAAGCAAAGGCTAATTGATTGCGTTAATTTCTGTATTTTTATTGTTTTTTAATGGATTGTAAATTTTATTATAACACAGAACAAAGAAAACACCATATAGTTTTGATAATATTATGAAGGGTATTGTAGATAGGATCTGAATTATAAACTTTCGCATACCTTCATATTTTGGTTTTTTATGCCAATGCATTTATTATTCTTCGCTGTTACTTGTTATCTTAATTTCATAAATTTAATGCTTAATTTTTAAAATACTTGAAGTTATGGTGTATAACTTTTCTGCAAATGACTGAGAATTTTTTGTTGAAAAGAGTTTTATTAAAAGGATTTAAATCAAATAATTTTTATTTAAAAGGCTTGTTAAAAAAGTCAAAGCAATTATCGTACCTTTGATATGAAAAACATTATTGCTTGCTTCTGAACAAATAGGTATTGTTGGAAGACATTTCTGTGTGTTTTGACTTTCTGATAGTGTAAAGGATTTTAAAAGTAGATAATCTTTTGAAGCTAGTTTTGTGAACCATTTTGGCTGATTTGGTCCCGCCTACTTTTCTCTGAGTGAACGATTTTAGAGCAATGTTTTTGAGAACTGTGATTTTACAGAGATGAAAAATCAAGTGAACAGTATAGGATTATTTCATTCTATTGAAGCAATTTATACAGGTGGAGCAATCGAATGGAGTTTGGATGGAAAAATGCTTTTTTCAGCTTGCGGCAACTATATTAGAGCGTCGAATATTGAAAATGGAAGAGAAAGGTGGTTAAGCATGCCGTCATTCTTTAATTTTAATGGATGTTTGACTTGAAAGTCGTTTGTAAGTGTATGGAAAATGTATGAATGTGGATACTTAATGACTTTGTTAGTAAGATAATGAGTGGTCAGCTCAATTTGGTCTAAACAGGTTATGAGTTAGTGTATGGAAAATGTAAGGATTTGATAACGAGTGAGTTCGGATGCTTCAATTAGCATTTTATGTCCTTTTATTCTAACGGATTTTGTTGTTAATTGCAGTTACAAGATTGGAAATGAGGAGGATCTGTTACGAATATCTACTTTCTTGTTGAACGGAAATTGCAATTCCATCGTAGTAGCTTATACGAATGGCCTTCTACGAAATTATCGATTGCCTTTATTAGAAAATGGGTCTGAAGTAGTAAATCCGGAAATAATCCGTCAATGGAAATCAACTCATTCGGCACCGGTTTTAGTCATGAAATTTTCCAGAGGTGATGCATTACTTGCTACTGGATCAGCAGATTTTGTTGTCAAGGTTTGAATTCTCAACTATGTCATCGTATAGAATGGAAGTAGAGCTGTCAACTGAATATGCCAAAAAATGTTATCTTACATTCTTTTATTCTTGGTACATATTTCAAAATTTATTGGTTTTGGTAATTAGCAAATGAGTTCGGAAGCTTCAGTTAGTTGTTTAGATTTGGAATCTCGAGAAACGCAGCTGTGTTGGCTCATTAAAAGGTACAGGCGCTGTAAGTGCTATCGAGTTTCTTCATAAAGCTCGTGTAGTAGTTGGCTATACAGACGGCAGTTCATCATTATTTTGTTTTGAAACTCCAAAGAAATTGATTTTTCGGTGGATTAACCACACAAGGTTAGATAGATATAAATTTGTTGTAAACTTACGCGATATCAGTTAGCTTAGAATATTTTCGATTTCGAAAAATTCATTTTCCATATCGAGAAATTCATTTCACACATTCATTTTCTAGTATTTTAGCCAGATTGTAAGCATAATTATTCGGCAACTGCCGGAAGTTGTTTTTGTGAGTCGTGATCAAACATTGTCAATCGTTAATGTGGACAGCTACGAGAAAATGAAAGTGCTTCCCTTGTATGAGCCGATCGAAGCAGCAATTTTTATATCTGGATCGTTGTTAACAGTAGGAGAGGAAGGTATTTTAAAGTGTTGGAATATGGAAAACGCAAAATTACTAAGATCTGCAAATATATGTAGGTTAGTTTGTTGTAATGCAAGCAATGTTTGCTGTGTACTTTGTTATATCATCTGAAAGTTTGTTATGAGAATGTTCTTTCTATTTTACGTGATTTTTAGTTTACAAATATGACTGAATTATTGGTAGAATGAATTAAAAAAACTTCAATTTCTTACTTTGTTTTAAGTAATTCCAGCTCTCGCATCAATTCTATTATTTACAATCAAATCTGCAAGAAATTTCTCTTGGCTACCTCGGATTTCAACATTTTTTGGATAGATGAAGAAACTTTCAAAATTAAGCGGCAGTTTGCTGGTTTCAATGATGAGATTCTTGATGTTTCGTTTTTTGGACCAAAACTGGAATATTTGATTGCAGCTACAAATAGTTCTGAATTGCGTTTTTATAATATGAATACTTGGTCTTGTCGTCTTATTGCCGGTACGTTTGTTTGAAGCAGAATGAAACATGAAATAATGTTTAGTATCTGAAAGTATTTTATAGACAATAAAATTTGTGCAGAGTGTGTATCCAGTGATGAAACATGGCAATTAATCTCATGTATTGATTTTATTTCGCAAGGTTACAGGTCATACTGATAATGTTCTCTCACTGTCAACGGCACCGTGGGATTCAAAGCTCTTCGCTAGTTCTTCCAAAGATAATACATTTATTATTTGGTGCGTAGACTTCAACGATGGTGAAGAAATGAAAGTGGAAAAGGTGGCTGATTTGTTAAGATTGCTTCGTTTTCATTTCATATATTTCTAATAATATGTGGTTAATTTTTAGGTAGGTATAGCGACTGGACATACTAATAGTGTCACACGTATTCGGTATTCTAATGGTTCCAAGCATCGTTTCATCGTTTCAGTATCGAACGATACGACGATTAAATTGTGGCCATTAAAGAATTTCAAGGAAAAAACTGAAAAGTATTATTATACTGACTAATTTATTATTATTGTTATTATTATTGTTGGTGATAGTAGTATTATTATTAGTTACTATTAATAACTGGTTATTATTTATTAACTTTTTGTTTCATTTTTTGAAAACATTATAGTTTCTCAGTGTGGTCGGAGATGAGATCTTATTCTTATTTAAACATGTTTATTCCTTTCTAAAAGTCGAATCTTTTGAGAATGTAATTTATTAGGACTTAACACTTTGCTCACCTAATGCTTCTTTGCTTTCGAAAACAGCTCTTAGTGTGCTTTCTTTTTTCAGTGTTTATAATGTTTCCTGAGATACTATATGAGCTGTTTTCAGTTTGAAACTGCAGTCGTCAGCAACATTAGTTGCCCACGCAAAGGATATAACTTGCTTAGATATTAGTCTGAATGATCGTTTATGTGTTACTGGCTCCATGGACAAGACAGCAAAGTTATGGCATATTGATACAGATAAAATGCATTTTACTATAGGTGGCATGTTAAGTGGTCATCGCCGTGGAGTTTGGGATGCTCGTTTTTCACCTACCACTCAGGTAATGTTTTTCAGAGAGTCTTCAGATAGTATTCTTGACTGATTCCGTTATTTCGATGCTAATCTGAGCTATGCTATTAGTGGCAGAAGTTAGAAAACGGTTTCGAAAACTTTTATTTTTGAGTTTTGCAACGAGTCATCAGAAAAAAGATGAAATAGTGGTTACATAAAGCTTATTCGTTAATCTGTTCAGGCTGTGATAACATGTAGTGGTGATTGTATGATCAGGATATTTTCGCTGCCAAATCGAGATTGCATAGCCACATTAGCTGGACATCCGTCTGCCGTACTTAATGTGATTCCACTTTTCTTCACGTTCTTTTTTTTTTCTAGATCATAAATTTTTTCCAATTACCTAACCATTTGTTTTAGAGTTCTAGCTGTTTGCTTTGCCATTTTTCAGGGAGTCATAGTGAATGGTGGAAAACAAATAATATCTGCGGATAGTGGTGGTTTACTTAAAATATGGGATATAGCTGCAAATGAATGCATCACAACGGTAGAAGCTCATGATGAGAAAATATGGGCTTTGCAAATGACAAATGATGAAAGTAGACTTGTTACGGGTACACTTTCAAAATTTTAATATATTTCCGTGTTCACCAATTCGTCCGTCTCCTTTTCTTTCTTTCTCTCTCTTCTCTCTTTCTCTGTATATCATTCTTTCTGTAAAATATTGAACAGTTTAGTAGGCCGTGATCAATTTCTTGAATTTCCCAATGATTCTGTTGCTTTTTTTTTTGAAAAATTACTTTTTGAAAATTTTGAAAAAAGTTATGCTTTTTATTTTAGCAAGTAGTGATGGACGAATACGGATCTGGGAAGATGTTTCTGAAAAAAAGCGCGAAGAAGAAGAACGTAATCGAGCAGAAAAGGCACATAGTGAACAAGTTCTGACAAATCTTATGCAGCAGAATCATTATGCTGAAGCTTTAGCATTTTCACTAACACTGGCAAGACCATATAGGTGTTCAAAATTTATAATTCGTTTAGATATGCTTTTTAAATTGAATGGGCAAGAACATTATGTATTTTATTTTACTGGTGTTCAGGTGAAGGGCATATTTATGTGTTTTGTAGAAATTTTGGAGGCAGAAGATATTAATTTTTCTCTGTTTTGCTTAGAATGGATATTTTGCAACTTCACTTTTCTCTTGTTAAGTAATAAAAGTTTCGAACAATTTCCGTCTATTCCTTTTGGTAGACAACATGTAGGAAGACATAAATTTTAAGAGAACATAATATGAGTATGTTCAAGTATTGAACAGATAGATTAATAAATATCGAATTATTTTGCTTATAAAATTGTGAATAGTCATATTATGCTAATAAGATTGAGCACTTTCTAGCTTGATTTTTTATTCTATTCTTTGTAGCTGCTTGAAAATAGTGCAGAGGATGATGGAGTTAAAATCAAATGAATTGCACAGTGCGGTCAAAAAATTGCATAGTGAAGAGTTAGTAGTATTGCTGCACTTCGCCGCCCAGTGGAATACAAACAGTCGAACAGCAGATGTTAGTATGTTATCAGTTTGAATTTCACAAAGCATGTTCATTTTTCATTCCCATTTCGCGCATTTTCCTTTGGATTTTTCAACGTTCACTACTTTTAGTAGATTCAGTTGGAGAAATATTTCTGTTAGAAAAATGTTGATAAAGAATAAGCTTTTTTTCTACCGCATTTGCTATTGATGGACCTATGAATTGTAATAGTGTGTATATAAATAAACTAAAATTAGGCGAATATTACTGAGGAATGCTTGAGGTTTTTAATGTTTATTTTTAGGTTGCTCAATTAGTGCTTTATTGCATTTTGCATTCGTTCCCTCCCACGGAGTTATTAAAAATGCCTAACTTTGCTTCAGTGATAGAAGCATATGTTCCATACACAACCAGGTGTGTTATATGATTTTAATCCAAGTTTTCTTTTTTTTCTCACAGTTTGGGGAATTTAAATTATTGGTAATTTCAACCTGATTTTAGGAAGACTAATGAAAATTTGTAGGCATTTCGATCGGTTAACAAGAGCGCGACAAAATGCTACATTTTTGGACTATACTTTAGCGCAGATGTCGCTGTCGAATTTGTAAATGGTTTTTGTTATTTTCTTGATAATGGCAACTTTCAGTGATTGATCTTTTTGAACCTGTTATACAGTTGTGACTACATATCATTGTTGTTGTTTTATTTTTATGTTGTTGTTATTTTGAAGAATTGAACATTTTCAATAAAATTTCATTATTTCATTATGTATTGTTATTTGACAGTAGTATACGTCGCTTGATACATGTATTATTTTTATGTAATTTAATCTACATGCTTTTCAAGATAATTAAATTTCTTTAAATTACTAAGTGATCAGTGATTGTAACGGAATGGGCTAAATGCAAAGTTTTGAGTTTGGACATAGATTCTTGCCATTTTTCATTTCAAGTTGGTTATGGAGGAAGCGAGTGTTGAAACTGATTTACCGATAGAAGCAGTCGAAGATGATGACATGCCGGACTTGCTGGAAACGATCCCTACACATTTTGCTACCTTGCCTCATCGAATGGAAGACGAAGACATCATTCCATCGGCAGAAGAGGGATTTGATGTGGTGAGCTTACTTTGTTATTGAATTTCAAATAGCGCTCTCAAGTTTTATAGTCCACTTTCTGTATTGTTATATTTGGTAAAGTTTTTGAACTGAGCATTTCTTTGGGGGAGTTGAACTTCACTTGTTCATTTGATGAACAAGTAGATAATTTTTTTTCCTGCAAAATTTCCCTCAAATCCAACAAATAGTCGGAAAGTGGTCAGAAAATATATCGCGATGCGAAACATGTATTTCGTTTTTTTTTAACAGGATGTGGTGGCAGAATTCAGAATTTGATGCAGAATTAACAGGATTCAAGTTCCTTCTGTTTTTTGCTTTACCGTATTTGTAAGCAACCCTAGAGATATTTGAATGGAGATATGTTATGAAAACAATAGGCTGGAGAAGTATGCACGAAATATTAAGTAGAATACATTACTAAAAGGGTATTTCAAAATAGAATAACTGGACTGCTTTTTTAAATTCTTCCCTGTACAGTTCTAGAAAATCTAGCATTTAGATAACTGTTAACATTTTAAACAAGAAGAACATGAAACAGTATGAAGGAGGTGAAAAAGGATGGTCCCTTTGCACTATGAAAGAGTGAGCACCCACTTTGAAGTGTTCACTTTTTCATTTTTTACCAAAGTGCACTTTCCGCAACACAGCACAAAGTGTTATGGCGATACACGCAACTGTTGCGTTTTATCGCCAACAATCGCATAAAAATGCGTTGGTTAAATTTTATTGCTTTTGGTATATTTTTGCAATTGGTTCTACAAAAAAAGGACATAGGGAGGGAAGACCTACCGCATTGAAACATTAGACACAAACTCTAATGGCACTCATATATAATATTCTTTTTTGCTTTTCTTTCTCTTTCTCTCTCTTCATGTGGACCTTCAAAACAGGCGCATAGATAGCAAAAATGCCATTGAAATTTTTTTTTAATCAAATGGTCGGTAGCTTTTGACTGTGTTCTCTATTTAATATCTATGTATGTATATGTCCATGTATATATTGTGCTTTATAACATTGAAAAAAAAAGGTGAGGTTTGCAATGGCTAAAGACCGCACGCAACAAGCAAATAATACTTGCAATAAATTAAAGCTGCTGTAGTATAACAGCCGAGATCAAAGAGATTAGAAGGGAGATGGTTATGAATTGATTACCATTGTTTATAATTAACTAGTTGCAATAAATTTCTTTCCATCTGGTGGTTATTAATTTATTAACTCACCATTTCCTAATTTGCTATGGAAATGATTGGATTTGAATGAATAATATCTCCTTATCACTATTGCTTACTTGCTTAGTTTCACTAACCCTAACTGTCGTTATTCGTCCTTGTAATCGACTGATTAATAATTTTTTTTCAACCACAAATCAATTTCCTGAAGTAAAAGGATCTTCTTTTTAAAGACCGGCAGCGTTTGTTAGACAGTCAAGTTCCTTCTGTTTTTTGCTTTACCATGAATGAAAAAAGTCCTTTTGCGATTTCCGTTAATTTCGCTAATTTTCGTCTAAATATTTCCTAAATTATCACATCTTTTTGTATAATTTTATTCAAGTATCGATTGGACTAGAAAACAGTTCTCGATGCTATGTCGAGATTTGGATTTTATTTGTAAAAGTTATATCCATGATTTTGTACACTTGCGGTAGATTTCCCGTTCATTTCTTTTTTGTTCAGGTACGAAGGAGGAAAAGGAATCGTGACAATGTTGGAATGATATCAGAAAAATCTGAAATTATTGTTGCAAAACAAATACACTACAAGAAACATAGGGGTTTGACAAATGTTGAAGTGCGCAAAGTCCCGGTGCCACCACATCGGTATTCACCACTAAAAGAGCACTGGTCAAAAATTATTTTGCCAATTATCAAGCAGTTACATCTACAAATAAGGTACTTGCACATCTCAATAGTAATTTTTTTGCTTAACTTCAAATTACAAATTACATTATTTTTTTCCGTAAGAGTAGAAACTGCTCATATTGTATCCTATCGTATTGTTATGTTTCCTGATCACAGGAACTTTCTTTATAATAATCATATCTTCTGAGAAGTTTCCGCATTTCTTGTTCTTTTAGTACATTTTCGTTTATTTCCCAAATTTTCTATTTCAACCTAGTTTGCAATTTATTTGTCATGCTGAAATTAAAATTCAGTTCGGAATAAGTTTTGTTGAAGACATCCATTCTTATATGCATTTCATTGATTATTAGACAAACATTTCTTTTAGATTCAACCTGAAAACACGAAATGTGGAAATTCGTGTATCGAGTGAGACTGAGGATCCTACACATTTGCAAAAGATTAGTTGCTTTTGTCTGAAAATGGCTGGTTGATTTTGCAAGAAAATGTGTTAAAGTAGAAGGGTTGGTTTTTTGCGAGACATGAGAATTTCATATATTTGTGTTTTCAGGCTGAAGATTTTGTCCGCGCTTTTGTTTTGGGTTTCGATGTTGATGATGCGGTAGCATTAATTAGACTGAATCATTTATTCTTAGAAAGTTTCGAAATTAATGATGTTAAGCCACTAAAAGGAGAGCATTTGTCACGTGCTATTGGACGAATTGCTGGCAAAGATGGTCGAACCAAATTCACGATTGAAAACATAACTAAGGTGTAGTAATTTATGAAGATATGTCAGTAATAATAAATGATGGACATTGGTTCCAATATTTCAGTAGAAGTTTACTAACTTAAACTTAATCTTTTCACTTGTATGCTTCGTTTGTAACTTAAATTATGTTACAGACTCGTATTGTGCTTGCCAACAGTAAAATTCATCTACTTGGTGCGTACCAAAATATTCGGATAGCAAGGAATGCAATCTCTTCATTGATTATGGGTATTCTTTTTTTCTTTTTATTCACTTTTTAGGTATTTAAGCTATAAAGAAAACTATTCAAGATGCAAAGCCTTATTTTCTATTCTATTATACGCATAGCTGATATTGAAGGAAAGTTATAACATAAGAAAAGATTTTCCTAGGTCTACATAAATACAGCAGTAAATATGTTTTAGGTAGCCCGCCATCAAAAGTATATGGTAATTTACGAAATCTTGCAAATCGAGCAAGTGAACGCTTGTGATTTCTGTACCATCAGTGTTTTCGATTTATATATGGAAGTTTATTGCATTGAATTGGTTAAAAAAGTTAAGAAACTGAGTTTCTGAATTTTCAAATGCTAAACAGGGAATGACATCATCAACAAAGAATCACTGGTAAAACAAACGATTAATATATTATAGACGCTAGAGCACGTCAGGCGAAATAACATGGAATAATCTTTGCTAGTTTTACATTCGTGCACTTATAATCTCAAGCTAGGTACCCGATGCTTTGCTTTAAGATAAAGACCAATTAAATCAGGAATCTGATTTTTAAATCTTACTGATTGACGTGAAAAGCATTGGGTAACTTGCTCTATTTATTGGCCTGAGATGAAGCCAGTTCGATCCAATTTCTTTCTTACAAAAGCAATTCAGTAGAAGGGAACACAGACTAAATGATTCTTTGATGTTAGGTTTCATCCATGATTAGAGGAATTTCGTTATCCATTCCTCTTAATAGTTGAAAAAAGCAACGTTGGGTAAATTAGATAAAATGAACTGGTCAAAGAATATTAAAGAAAAAGATATGATAAGAATAAAGAACTAGCGGGAAATCTATTGTTTATGTGAATATGAACTTGTGACACAGATACACTAACAAATAATACATGAGAGGAGGTTCCTTTCAAGGTGCTGACAGAAATGGTAACGTTGGTGTGTACGGTAACATGGGAGTAAACTGGAACGGTACTGGATTCATCATATGATGATAATTTAGAGATATAAGACGCAAATCAATATTATCCATTGGTGGAATAAACCTGAAAAGTCCGAAACCGATAAGATTGGTAATGCGGGGCTTTGCATCTATTAATCTCTTTTTGATTAGCTTGTACTTTCCAGTGATTCACCTAGAATGATCTAGATATATTGTTTAGGTTCAGCCAAATGCGCCATTCCTATACTTTATCTGGTCTAACTACATTTGCATCTTCGTGATGCAGTTGTTTAATAAAGAATGAATTTGTTTAAATATTTGATGCCTCATATACAAACCATACTTTCCTCTCCTGCATATCTTTTATAATGAAAATAATTGTTGCAAATTAGAAATTTCAAACTTACATTGGTGCTGTAGGTAATATCGCAGTTGGTTGAAAGATTATTGGAACCGGTGGTCTGGGTTCCATAACTTGTGGTTTTGGGAATACTGGTAAGAGTGGTGGTACACGCACAGGTTCTTCCACTTTTACATTATGGTCTGGCGTAATAAGTTGCTCTGAAGCAAACAGAAATATTTTAGTTTAAGGTGGGAATTTAAACTTCAAACAACTAATATACCCCTCATCTGCTTAAAAACTCTAATAACAGCCAATATATTTAATATTTGCTTGCCTGATAGATCGGTAAAACCTTGTTCGACTTCCGAATTTGACTGCTCCAAGATTAAACTTTTTGTAGCGATGTTTGTTGTAGTCGCAAGAGCAGCAGCTGCGGCATTAAGTTGTGCTTTTCGTTGTTTCTGCTGATCTCGTCGTAGTTTTATTTGACGAGCCATTAATGTTCGCCGATTTTCAACCAGACCACACTAAAAACAGTTTTCAGATTAATTGTCTCTTTACACCTTTCAAATCCTATGGTGCTGAATAGTAAATGATTCTGAATTTAAACACTATGAAATTAGAAATGAAATAGAAAAGTGATAAAATTCTGCCAGTGTGTCTTCGATTACAGGACTCACTTCACTAGAAATTTAAATTTCCCTGCTTTTATTTTGTTAATTTCGAATAGATTCCCAGATCTATCGCTATTTTCAATTTAAATTAATGGAATAACAAATTTGAAACCAATATTGAGACATTTTTTAAATTCTAATGTAAGAAATTGAATTAGATTAGCTACTGTACAAATATGCGCTCTTTTTCCTTCTGCTGATGTTTCATCAAGCAAAATGATGATGGATGATAGAAGAAGCTAACCAGATGACATCCACACTTCAAAAATGGACACTGCGCTTTTTTGTGTCCTCTGAGCGGTTGTTTATTGCCATGTGCAGAACACAGTGCGCACTTCGGATCGCGTATCTTTTTACCCGTTGTTGAACGACTTGCTGCATGATTGGGATCCAATCGTCTTAAACTTAACATATTATTCAATCGTCGACGCTCTTCCACCATATGACAGTCGGCACACTCACAATTCGCATACCTGAATGAAATTTTTGCTTCAAATGAAATTAATTTTCAAAAATGTCATTTCTTTGAAACTCAATAATTCTGTTGAGAGAAAGTTTTTGGAATGGAGTTATTTGGATGTGATGTAGAGATATATGATAATGATTTTGTGCTTAAATGATAACGGATGTTTAATGTCTTTGGAAAATTACACCTGGAAAGGAATTCATAGATGAAGAAAATACGAATTAAAGAGTTTTTAATGCCGCTTGAAGAGTATTTGGAAGTTAATTTAATGATAAATATGAAGTAAAAGATTTTGAATAAAAGAAATCATGGAAAGAAGAGGAGAAAAGATTTGCATTTTTCAATTTAAATCTATATTTCCTCTAAAAAGTTAAAAAACAAAAAACAAAAATAAACGTCGATAACGTGCTGGCAAAAAGGTTTATGCCCTTTTCGAGGGTGTTCCTCAGCGTGATTCAAGCATCGCTGACAAAAATATCGCTTCTGATCATCTTCGTTTACTGGTTCTGGACGAGGTGTAAATGCAACAACATCAACTTCTTCCGGTGTGCTACATGACGAATAATCACCGGAACTACTGTTCCGACTACTTCCAGGCGACGTACCTAAAATTCCAATAATATTAACAAATAAACAAATTTATTTCTATCAATTATTATTACTTTGTTTTCAGCGATAACTGAATAAAATGTAACAATTTAAATTCCGTATTTAGTTTAAAATTTTTGACATTTTTAGCAAGTTTAAAAACCAATCTATCGAAATTTCAAACAATTATTTTAAGTATTCATTTGAGGTTATATCGCTCTGTTTGAATTGAGTCAGTAATATTATAAAATAATATAATGTGCATGGTTTTATGCTCAATCCAATATGAAAACAATTAAAAATTATAGACAACTATAAGCAATTCATTTGAATCCGAAAAAAGCAATTTGAATTCATTTTGTTTTTATTTTTACACAGGATTTAATAGATAACAGAATGCTAACATTTAATAGATAATAGAAAATAAAAATAGCAACAGAAATATATCAAATGTTCTGTCCCTTAACTGTCGCCTTGTTTAACTTTATTCTACAAAACTGTTTTATCGGTAGTTCGAATAGTCGTTACAATTGAAAAGCGTTTCATTTCAGTTTATTCAGCTACTGGAAATTTTTCGTTAATGTTTTTTATCTATAGCATAGGGCTAGAAAAAAGTTTAAAATGAATAATTCAAAAATATGGCAATGATTGCGAAGTTTAATACGCTGTTTACATCATTGCTTTCATCTAGTTATCATGAAATAAGCAGAAAAATTTTTTCGTACTGGTTTAAATTTGGTAAAACTGTATTAATAGACTTTTCTTATTTCGGGGACTATTCTTCTCGGATCGAGAATGATGTGGAATGCCAAGTTTAATCTTACATTTTCATGCAATGAAATATACGTAGCAAAATCCGTCAGAGTCTTTTTCGGTGGCCATAGCAACGAGTTAAGAGACTTGACAAAAGAACCGCCAATGAATAAAGTGAAATCTGTTGTGACAGATGTAAATCAACTTTATCCTGAATTGGTCGATCATAAATTCTAGACATAAATGTCCTGTTGATTTTATGGATCACCTTATTTAACTAGAGAAAGCAAAAGCTTTCCAGCTATGGCGCTGGATATGCATGATTTATGAATGAGCAAAAAATTCTTCTAAAATGAGAAATTTGGTTTAACAACATTTCACCATTTTAAGAAAAGAATTTAATTGCTATTGCAAGTGGAATATTAAAAAAATTCAATTTAATTTTTTTAAAACATCTAAGACTGGATAACGTTAAAGTTCGAATTTTCATTTCCAATGTTGCAATTAAACTTCAATCAAACCAAAATTATGACATATACTAAATACTCAGTTCCATGTACTTAAAAGAGAACAAATCGATAACCAAACAAAAAAATATTTGCAAATTATTATTGAAGTAGATGAATGAAATAGGGACGATAATAAAATCAAATCAGTTATAAATTAAAGTATGTGATTTTATGCTGAATACGATTTGATTTTCATATTTCTCTCGAGAAGATTGTTTTCTCTCTTAAATTTGTTTTGAATCTTTGAAATGTATAGTTGTAGTTATGAATTGAAGAAATTAATTTAAAAAAGTGGTAACGAAGAAAGTTATTTATCATATCGAATTCAAAATAATGATAAAATTAAATTTTAAGAAAATCATTTGATGCTTCTATTTACTGGCTTAGGAGTAAATGATATAAAAATATGTCAGTTAATGGTATTAGCTTGTGCAGTATTGGGGAAGCAGTTTTTTTAATCTTAGGTAAGTTAATTAAAATTCGTTTGAAGGACTAATAGCAAATGGCAAATGTTAAAATACATTTAAAATTATTTATCATGTCAGTAACAAACAAAAATACTACGATCACTTCAATAACTGCAGTAGTTTGTTCCGTAAGAAAGCTAAATCTAATATCTCAATAATTTTTTGCTGATTTATTGAGTACTAATTAATAAGATATTCTGGATAATAAACTGGAAGCTTATAATACAGCAAAGGATGAAACAGATAGACCTAAATTTACACAGCAAGTTTAACTTTTAATCATTGATAACCAATGAATTAGAACTAAATCATATAAGTATTTACATTTCGGTGTTGATAACATAATTTGTACACTTTAAGGATGACACATTTCATTTGGATTATTGATATAATTGGAAGATTCTATTACCCTTTCTATCACTTCATTTCTTTGCCGGGCTAGTGAGTTCACCCTACAAATTAGTGATTTCCTCATTATTGAATAGTTAAAAACAGTTCAGATTTGTAAAATTCTGCAGTT